GTCCCTCGGTTCCGGTGAGGCGCCACTTTTGGACTTCGAATTAGCCCCCTTCTACCTCGCTGGGTGGGCTGGCCTTTTGGGCCATGTCAATAGCCCGGACACCTTCTCCGTGCTGAATATATATATTCTGACCGAGTATTGTGTCTTCTTTCGTCTTAAGGGAGTCTTGGGACGCTACACAATAATCGTGCAGATAATACATGTTATCGACGTACAATGAGTCCTAAAACTACTAACTTGGCCCAAAGGCTAGTCTATTTAAAAAGGATACAACATCAGAGACTCAAGTCGTCCCCTATTCTTAAACTAAATGTTAGACAAACAACCAACAGATTACATAGCCTGTCCCCCCTTTTAAGCGTCACCCCGACACTGTTTTGGATCATGCTTCCACGTCAGTCATCGCAGCATAATCAGTGCTGTATGGAAACACCCACGAGCCAACCGTGCCAGTCATCGAATTTCCATGAAAACTAGAAGACACTTCACCGCAATTTCACAGATCCCCTTGGCGATTCTACTACACCCAAAGTTTTGTCCTGCATGAAAAAAGGATTTAAGAATGGAACAAGTTGTTGGACATCGCGCGTGTCCAAAGTCAGTCGCAGGAACACTAGCCTAGAAGCAGAATCGAATAACTAAGGGTGATGTAAGGAATAGTTCCATTAAAATAAGGTTTCTTTTTTATTTCCCTTTGGCATTTTTTTTGCACTTCAAACTCTTACATCTGCATCTATTCATATGAGATTTATCCAGCTATTTGGAAAGTGGAGGAGGTATTACCAATTCACTTAAATAACAGCATACTGGAACAATCAACAACTCCACAACAAATTTTCATGGATAGTCTATGGCAATTTTGCTGTATTAGTCGATAGCAATAATTAAAATCACGAAACAGGGATGGTAGCCGAAGGCAGACGTCATTTTACCCTTTTATTAGAGCCATCACATTTTCACTTATCTGCAGCATATAGCTTCTTCGTTCATGGTAAGACTTATTACGCAGAAGTAAAAATCTCTTAAATTGCATTTTAGGATAGGGTTTAGTTTTAGCTGCTACCACTTCTGTATCCCAAGACGAAAGAAAACATAAAACTGGAGCAGGTCATATTTTGGTGAAGTACAAGTCGGCTTGAAGCTACTGGCATACCCTTAATGCCGTAAAAACGGGACTTAAACCAGCAGTTAATATGGTACAATTACAACAAACACGTGTGAAATTTCGGTTAACGTTTTTATGATACCTTAATTATGTATTTTTCACTGTGTTTTGATTATGCTGGTACTTATGGCTTCATCATCAGAATATTCCTTTGGGTTGCAGGACGTTAACGCCACAGCCCAGAGTTTCGATTCGAATCCTTGCCTGCTCTATGAAGGGAGCAGTAAAACATCATAGGTTTTACACTAGAACGTCGTCCATCACAGACATATGCCTTGTTTGGATTAAAGGAAAGGCACAGGGCTATGTAATTTCTTCGTATTTCCTTAAAAGCAACAAAACAGATACCCTTGGAATTTGCTGGTTGTTCCTTTGCCTTGTAATTATTCTTTTATAAGTGATAACTGGAGAATTTTCACACTTCACCATATTCTAATGTCAATTTTTATCAGTTTGCCTCCGCAAAAATTTCTGTATTTTTAGTTCTGCAAAATCCTTTTTTCGTTGAGGCACAAATGGTGACTGTTCATTCATGCGTCTGATGGTGACATCAAGTAGCATAGTGTAATACAATAGTGGTTTATCCCTCGGTTCTGGTGAGGCGCCACTTTTGTACTTTGAATTAGCCCCCTTGTACCTCGCTGGGTGGGCTGGCCTTTTGGGCCATGCCAATAGCCCAGACACCTTCTCCGTGCTGAATATATGTATTCTGCCCGAGTCTTGTCTTCTTTCGTCTTCAGGGAGTCTCGGGACGCTACAATAGACTATGCATACTTTAACATGTGTCTTTTTAGTGGTGGAGTTTCCTAAGATTTGCCTTTATTTTTTTTAAATTTTTGCAAAACCTACTATCTGTTAATAACTTTATGATGTTGTATTCAATGCTTTCATTCCCGGTAACTTTTGCGCTATTCCAGAAGTTTCCCTTAGTACTTTGCTCATTCATACAAGCTACTTCGTTTGAAGTGGGTAATAATTAACCAAGTAATATTGTAAATGAACTCACTTTAGGACAGCCGATCTTAGGCATGGGAATTTTTATAACATTTCGTAATAATTCTGCAGCAGTTTTTTGCTGTACGTTTAGTGACCGCAACAGGCGTTAAACACAAAGTTTTTGTTAATATGTGCTTTACTCAATGGATTCTTTGGTGGTTTTATTTAAGTTTTTTAAGTGATAGTCACTCTCAATACAATTAGTTGAAACGCATTTGTACCCTTTATTTTAGGCCGCCACTTTTGAACTCGTGTTAATCTTTCAGCTTAATTAAGCTGTTCTCAACTCTACCTCATTCTGCATAATGGGTGAAAACGATGCGGCTATTTATAGTGTTGTTAATGAGTTAATCGATTCATGCATCATGGACGATATCTTACATCTTCACCGAGCAATTAAATTAGGTTACTCTCATTTAATCCTTGCTGACTCGGAGGATGTTGATGGTGGAGAAAGTGATTCCGCTACCCTCCACTCCTCTTCCAGATCGGATCCAGTAAATAGGTCTTCGGCTTGTTGTCGTTGCGTCAAATGTCATTGCAAAGTGGCGGCGACTCGGTATGCCTCCCATCTCTCCAATTGCATGGGTCTTGGACGAAACAGCTCTCGAAGAGCAAATAAGTACGTAAATCGTAGATGGCCTATTGATTATGGTTGATAATACCTAATTGTGACTTACTTATCTTTAGGCGCATAGCTGAACAACAACGTTTTGAGGACTCGGATGATGTTGATGATGCCCACTATTTGGATCACAGTCCCATGTCATCTTCTGGTCACAAACACGACTACCCATCGCTTAGCAATTACCCCAAAAATCAAAGTTCAGGCTTTCCCTCTCGAGCCTCGAAGAATAATAATGTGAAGATTAGTGGGTTGTCTACTAAATCCTCCAATGGCAGGAATGCAAACAACTCTCTTCCCGCTGAGCCCGTGTTCGAAAAGACAGACTCCTTTGACAGCATTTCCTTCTCCTGTGATGATGATGAGAGCAACTCTTCGGAGGCCACTAGACGTTCTGGTGTTTCACGAATCAGGCGGCACCAGAAGCTGCACGTCTAAACCTGTGTTTATTCACATCTTTCTTTTCTACTCCTCTCCCTCACGTCCTATCGATCGACCGTTGTCTTTCTAGAGGGTAGTATTTAGTACTTTAATCAGGCATTTTGTACACATTTTATGAATGCGAAATCCAATACTTCGGAGGTCCTGTCTAACGTCGTCTTGGTTGCAGTTCCTTCTAAGTTTATATTGTTAATGTGGGAACTGGAAGCCCGAAAAAGTAGGAAGCTTTCACTTGTGCTTTTTTGTAAACAACAACAACGCCGACAGGTGCTGTTCTTTACCTGGATAGACTTGTACTGATTTCGTTTTGCGTTCTTGTTGTGACTTTGAATCGTGTCAAATCTGCCGGCTTCCAAGTTATTTGAATAAATAATTGACGATTTGGAGTGCGTTTGCACGTGTCTTCTGTTCTGTTGCTTTAAGCCGTGATAGGGCGAAATGCTTTATAAATGCGACTAAAGCGTAGTTACGATTACACTTTCTAAGTAGATTGTGACTCTGTTTGCTCTTTTTGCATGTTAATTTATTTTAATCAAAGACTCCCATTCTATCATTCCGGAATAAGAGCTGTGAGTATTAATAGCCAGGCATAGTTAGCTTGTAATTGTCTATAATCCTCCATTCTTATGGGAATCGCCACCATGACGCAAGTCATAATCGACTCCTAAGCATTTAGCCACTTTCTGATCAGTACCCGTTGGAAAATCAGTCCTGGCGGTACACCCGTGCAATGGTTTCGCCTGAATAGATTGTAACGATGTGCGTCTTTCGGTTACGATAGAAGGAATACTGACTTTTTGTCGACCAACTTTGTTTCAGCAGAACTTTGCTTTTGCTTCATTTTGCCCATTGCTGAGGGGGAGGGAGAACGCGTCCCAATTAGTTCGGAGATTTTCTGTTGGCATTAAAAAAGACCTTTGCATGTATATGCTTCCCTCTGTCTAACCGATACCCGATAACCTTGGAAGTAGATATTTATCGGCGCAATTACGCTACTCTGAGGTAACTTGCTTCACCACGCCATTCAGCTCCTGTGCATTGGGCAAAAGCAGAAAGCTGCCCTAGTCAACAACATCCAGCGTCTCCCTGAAATGGTACATACCCGTGAATGATTTTTTTCACCACTCTTGCGAAAGACCGGTTGCTTTTGTGACCTCACGATAGGTCACGCGTCAGTAGAACGTTTCGCGCGCCAATTTCCGGCTCACAGAAAAAAACTGCTGAGCTGGAAATGCCCACAAGTGGTGCCGTCGCTAGCATACGTTGGGCATTCTTTGAAGCGGTTACAATTAAATGCCCTGCCAAGAAACAGCTGAACGTTCGTCCCATAGTGTGTTCGAAATCGACCGCAGGCATTCTCACGTCCGAGTTTTAGATCTGCGATTGCTCGACTTCACCGCCACGTGCTGTCGCATGTATCCACTACTACCACCTTGATCAAAATTGTGTGGATTGGCCTGCGGTGCGCGCGCCGGTTACTACTGGTACCCGCAAGGCGAACCTATCACGTGTAGTACTGCCAAACCAACTTGACCTGAACTTCCCCCTTATTCTACCCTTTACCAGTGATGGGAAATAAGTGGTTCCCCACGCATTTCAAACGCTGATGATCATGCTTCAGCAGCAGCTTCAATACTAGACAATCACGCGGCAAAGTAGAACCCTCACATCCCCCAAGCATTCAACACTTCTAAACACCAGGATCACGCGACGCCAGCAGAAACTGTCCCGCATCGTCACAAAAGGCTGCTCGTGTGCGCAATTGTCTGCGTTGTGATATCAGTTTGTTTATGTCATAAAACACGAATAAAAAAGCAAGTTTGTAACCTTGCGTCTGTTATGGGAATTGCAGCTTGAAACCTTCTAAGAGGTCTAACCGTTGACGCAAGCGAATCCACCAAGCCAGTACTGCGAAGTCGAAAGCCCCCCGCGAGCGGTAAACAGGCAGTGATGAATAGTAGCCCGGACCGCCTCGCGATTTAGGGAGGAAGGGAGAAAGATAAACGTCAAGCATCGAGAACGCCAACCACGGTGGACTACTACACGAACAAAGTCAGAACGTTTGCAATGGAGGTTTGACATAGAAAAAAGGAAAATTAGGGAAAAAATTATTTATGAAAATGTCACTAACACGATAACGGCGAGGATAGGGAAGTGATAGAGCAAGTGGGAGGATGAGCCGAAGAACAACAAACTAGAGGTGGGTTCGGTTCTGCCGCTTCTCCTGAACTGATCGCAGCAATACAAGGGCCCGGTTCGCCTCCGCCGAAGTCAGGACACCGGCACCTTGAAGATGTGTGATCTTGGTGACCAGCATGGAGAGGATATCGTCGCCGAGCTCCTTCACTGTGTCGTCATTCATACGAAGGTGGTTCACCGCCTCCTGCAGGAATCTGTGTGTGTGAGGAGGAAAGTTGTAATCGGAAATTCAATCGAATGCATTCTCCCAAAGCAAAACTCACCGTTCAAAAAGTACTTTAGAAACAGTTTTTAAGCATTTAAAGCAAGAAATACCTGTTGTGTTTAGCGAGAAATTTTCAAGTCCCTACGGCAAAAAAGGTGTTGAGAGCCTAGAATTCAGAGGAGCCACAGTGAAAAGGGACGCCCCATTTCCGTCGCCTTTACCGTCAAAGTAGGTGAATTTGAGGTCGCATCTTTCTCGAGACGTTTGCCACCAGAACCTTAGAGGAAAGTGGGCCACCACAGCCCAGGTGTCCTACAGTCTTAATGACACCAATTGTCAATAATAACCTTCTTGGCCAATTCAACCCCAAAACCATAAGATTTGATTAACCTCAAAGCAAACATATCCCGCACTTTATTGTAATGTTATAACCTCAGCTAATCTGCTTGAGACACGATTTGAAGAGGCCAGCTTTCATAAATTCATAAGGCTTTACACAAATATAATGTTGGTAGCAAACGAGTTGCTACCTCACCTCTGAAAAAGTTTGCTTCACGTTAATGCAAGTGACTTCAACGACCAGAAATTGTAACAAAAGAAACCCATCAATGAAAATCAATCGCGCCTCTGTCACAGACCCCTTTCTGATTTCCCCTGAACCTCATGAGCAATACGACAAGCTACATCCACATATGGAGACGGTGGTCAGGAGAGTTTTTAAGTATTTAAGGCCGCACAATCATTCTTAATCCTATTTCTCGTCAAGTTACACTTGGGGAGCATCGATGTTAGAAGAGCAGGAACTTGTTGGTTTATGCCATTACATATGTCATGACCGGTGCAAATAGAGGTCAGCCTGGGGCCATGTCAAAAGATACCAACTGTTTCAGTAGCCTACTTCAGTGTTTACGCTAAGATATACTTGCGCAAAAAAATATTTACTTCCAAATAACTCGCCTTCCTTCATTTTAAAATTCCATTCACAAATTAATCGAATTGAATTGAATAAGTGGCACCACTACCTATCTCAAAGTCACTTCTACATAGCTACCCTGCTCACTTGAAAAAATACGACTCTCGAAGGTGAATTTGGTTATTTCCAAAACCCAGCGTTGCGACCCCTCACAATTCAAACAAAGTAGTCAAAGTTTCCGTTGTCAACTTTAAGCAATGCGATTTCTTTTAACCAATGCCTCGATGATGCGTGATAAAACAGGGAGACTCCAGGGTTTGGGAAGGACGACAGAAGGAACTTACGATATCTTCATCTCCAACTGCTCTTGAAGCTGTCCACAGCTGAGTTGGTGAATTAGGGAAAGGAGAAGCTCCTGTTTCACATTTTGTCGGAAGAGCTGCACCACTGGAACGTTCTGCAACACCTTCAGCAATAAAATTTGGTTCGCCGAGGTCAGGGCCTTTGAGGAGGTAAATAGACAAAGAAATGGGGTTATTTGAGCACAAGTTATCCTCTTGAAGGACATTAACATCTGTAACTTTTGATATGAGTAGAACTTGTTATACCTTTAAATCTCAACTGAAAGGAGGGTCAGGAATAGTACTTGATGAGACTACCTCTGCCTGGCGACCCGATTGTTCTCCTAGTTAGCATGGTCTGTCACTTCTAGATGAAGATTGACACCGAATTCAGAAGACTACTTGTTCATTAAATTCAGACAAACCGCAGTTTTTGGAACTATTGTGAAGGTGTGCCGTCATTCTTTTCACGTATCGAGAGCCTCCTTACAAAATTTTCCCATGATGTTATGGACAAGTCGAAAACTAATGCCATTTTAAATAAAACTTTCGTCTTGAAACCATTTTAGACAGTATAAAATGTCATTGGGTGACCTTAGCAGTGAGAAAATAATGTAGATCAAGGGGGAGGGAGTCGTCATAATACGCCAAAAGGGGCCAATTAGTGTCAACTTAGTTGATAATTTTAAAGGACCAAATGAGCTCTGCCTGAGGAAGACATTGCTTACCGTCTCAAGGGCCTCCACATACTGGTGGTTTTGAATGAATAAGAGAGCCGCTTGGTAAGAGTCCGCAGACGAAGTGCCTCCCGAAATGAAGTTTCTCAATTGCTGCTTGCTACCGCCTCCGCCGACAGTGTCGAAGGCCGATCTCGAGCCCTTTAGCGACAAATCTTTTGAAGTCGCAGCTGATAACATTGCTCCTCCTACTTCCAACGCAGACGGCATTGCAATATCTGCCTTTAGCAGTTGTGACTGCTGCGAAGCTACTTTTAGCGACTCATTCATTTGAGTCGTAACCTTGGCCTATCGGTCAAATGAAAAGAAGCATTGCCTTATTTTATCTAGTAATAAAAACCTCATCAAGTACGAGTGTCCCTATGTCCAGCTGTCTTCAGGAAAACATACACAGCGTCATTTACCTCTCATGATGAATATGATCCATTAATTATGTTGCAAAACCACCTATCACGAGTTCATTCACCCCGAGTCGATTCCTTCCGAATCTGTCCATTCGTCTACTTATGCCAACATTCCAGCTCTGCACAGGAAATGGCAGACTAAGGCTTATCTAAGTTTCGTTCTAGTGGACGAATTTGATCGTAAAATGGATCAAACAGATGAACTCGATGAAAGCAACCCTAGCAGAAATTTAACAATCAATTTATAGCTAAAGCCCACTCCAGCAATATCTAGTCACCCGAAGCGAATACATTTAAAGATTACCGGCACATCTCGAGTTTCAATACATAACCTGGTTACCTTCCGTCAATACAAATAATTTTCTCTAGGAGTCTAGAAATAAAACATCAAAGAACTCACTGCAATGTCCTTAGACAACCGGTTGACCTGCTCGTCGAACTTCCGAACCGATGCGTCGATCTTGTCCCGCGAGGACTGGACACCAGAGTCAATCTTCGTAATGACTAACTGTACGTCTGATGAAAAAATAGCAGTAATTTTAGGACTTCTAAAAAATTTGTCACTTTTACCAGATATAATTTAGTCATTAAGAAGGCATATCATCACCAGGTTAAAAGGCTCGTGTAGACTTGTTTACTTTGCTTAAAAAGCATGCTATTCTCAAGCACAACCCCGATTCAGCAGCACAGAAACCTCGAAGCACCAAGAATGGGATGCTCTGTGAGGATCCAATTTAATGATTTCAACCCTGAATACGAGAAGCCTGACCTTGAGTAAAGCTGAGAGTGGATGGGACCCGGTAATTCAAGCAGAGTAAAACACCGACTCCCAGTGCTCATTTTGTGAAAAAAAGTGCAGAGTAAAAAGATGCGATAGATTCAAAAATTGCGTTTTGACAAACGATTTTAACCTTGAAAAAATGTGAAGTGGAAGTTGAGGCAATCACGGTAAAAGAAAGGTTAATACACCTCAAAGTACGGTTGGGCAACAAGATTTGAACCTGATCACCGTCCTAACAACTGACAAAGCAAAGAAGTTTTCCAGATAGCCAAATGATCTCGACCGAACAAAAAAATATCAGGCGAAGAATTCGCAATCTCAAATCTCTCAATTCGGTGGACGTCATTGTACTCCTTTTCGAAATGACCCAGCTAGTGCCTCTAATCTTGGAACGAATGAGCTGGAAAAGAATAAGGCAGCGAATAACAATGTGTTTGGATGAGTTACAATGAAATGCGTTAAATACCTCCATTTCAAATTAACAATGCTTGAAATCACAACTACCATTTCAACATTTAAACAACCGGAACGAAAGTAACAAAGTAGCCTTCCAAATAGCCGCGTAGGTTGATCACAAGGAATGATTTAACCGGAAGAGTGTAAAGATTTCCTCCTGGCAAACGTTGTAGATTTCAGCTTCGAAGATAGCCTAGTTAATCTGCTCAAATGGTGTTCACATAAAAAATCATGCCAAATAACTGGTAAGCATCTATCAAGTTAGCAATCAGACCTCAAAAGAAGAAAATCCGAATTGAGAGCAAAGTGACAAACAATAATGAGGTGAAAAGAAGTGAGTAAATTTTTTTTCAATTAACAGCCTTTGACAATGACTGCTGCTCCAACAAAAGAACATTTGGAACAGTATGCCGAGACAGAAACGGGTTGCTACGTGAAATAAATGGGTTGGCCTACCTAGTTTTAACTTTCAAAACTGAGGTATTGGATGACCGGGACTCAGCATGTTTATTCATGGTCACCATTCTTAAAAAACGAACTATTGTAAAAATGTAGGACATAAAAATTGCCGGGGAATTGGATAAATGTATGACTTCCAGATAAAATTAGCCAATTAATGCTCACGTTGGTTCAGGGCACATTTGACCAGTTCATCTAATTCCTTGGTGAGTTTGTCAACTCCCTTAGTAAACGCCGGCACGAGCACCCGACGCAGTTCCTCGCGGTAAGCAATCGTCATACTAGGTGCAATTGTCGTGCTCATCTGGCCCAAAAAGTACTGATTGAACTTCTGCAACACAGGAAAGACGTTTGCAATGAACAGGCAGCAAGGAAGTGAGGGGGGAGATAGCGGTATTCAACACCAGCCTACTGGATCAATGATGACGGAGAGCATCCGATCGGCCACTGTCTTCGGCAGAGGACCCAACATCTCCTCCAGGGAGACTCGCAAATGCTGACGCAAGGGCTCGAGGATTATAGGAGCATCTAGCAATGAAAGAAAACAATCGTGTTATAATAATTATTGTGGCAACGCATTTAACAATGTGATTTCTTCAGCCTCTCCAATCTCAGTTACTATCTTCTTTGAGGTACTGTAACCATGCCTAAACGCACACGTGAATTCAAACGATGTTCAAGTCAAAGCGGGACTATTTCGTACATTGTTGTGATCGTTCATAGGAATGGCTGTTGAGGCTGGAGGTTAGAAACCAGCACAGCCGGATCAACATGCGGTCTTACTGCTGCATAATCAAGCCTTTCATAACCGTAGCGTACTGTGCTTGAAGCCTTCTGCAGACAAGAGTGGATTCTCGCACTCGCCCCATACACGGTTCCTTGGCATCTTAAAAAAACGGTGGTCGGAGTCGACGGACCCACGAAATGCACACCGACTAATGGTGATAAGCCAAACTTGCTACCCAGCAATAATTGAAGCAACACAGCGGTAATGTGCTTTTATATCACCTGCAAATGTCATTACTCATTTTCACACACTATCTATATTCAAGCCAAACATGAAAACTGCACCATTCACCATTTCATTGGAATGATTTTTAAGAGATAATGGGCGGGCAGCGAAGACCCGGAATCGAAAGTTAAAATCGAAATTTTTGGTGATAAATCTCCACCATGTATCAAATCATTCAAACAGAACTAAACCCATTAGCGCCCTTATTTGCGTTAAAGATAGTTTAGCCATTTGCTTTTCCATTTTCTTTCCAAATCCATCTTCAAAAGCTAATTATACATTTAGACTCATGTTTACACGGCACTACAATTAAACTGAAAGTGATTTGAAGACAGCAATTTTGAGAGTTTAGAGAAAGATGAGACCCCATAGAACTGCGGACACCGAAGTGAACGTTTAAGCATGGAATTTTAATTTTCCAAATGCGATGTAAGAAGGGATACTACCGTAGCAGTACTACACACAGTAGCAATTGCTGGCCCATACGTCAAGAGTCAGTCCGCTCCAGATACCGTTAGTCAAGAAGGCAGGGAATAACGCAGTTAACGAAAACGTAAAACGGAAATCCGTGGTTACCTCCTTCTATCCACAAAAGATTTCAAGCGTAGTATTTGTGGTGCATTGGGAGGAAAATTTCAGAATACAAATGTTTTAAAATGCTTTTCAGGCGTCCGATAAGTTTATAAATGCAGTTTGCCTCCCTGAAAATTTGTTCTATTCTGATATAAGCTCGGGTATCGGTTTGACTTAAACACCCCTTCTGGTTTGAATCTAACATCGAACAAAGGATGTACCATCCTAACTTTAGGCGTCATCAACTAAGCAGAATATAATAAAAATTGCATTGACGGATAAAAAAAACTTTCACGTACTGGACTGAAAGACGTTTTGAATTTCAGTTCGTATGACATTACGCGTCTGCTCCTGCAAGGTCTGCATCTGCTTGGCGTCTAAAAGAGACGCCGCCTGTGGTTTTTTCGTCGGAACCATTGAGGCGGTAGAGGTCTGGATGTTATTCAACACTGTTTCCAGATGCATTAACTGCTTTGTTGTCTCGGCTTTCTGCTTGCGTACTTTGGTTACAGAAGAGAAAGGAGTGGTGAAAGTATACGAGGCAAGAAGGGGTTATGAGAGGAAGGGGAAGGTGGGGTAACTCACCTTGATCCACCAGATGATTAGCCCAAGAGGGTGAGGTGGGAGTAGAGGCGGTGGCGGAGGTGGAGACGGGTGAGGGGGTGAGAGCGTTAACTTGCTTCAAGATGGTGGCTTGCACATTGGCCAATTTTGTTAGCTGGTTCTTATTCTCATGCACTTTGTCTAAAAGAGGAAAAAACGATCCGACATTCCAAGAGAAAAAAGTTGCGTAAGAGTGCTAAAGTAAGGTTTGATCGGATTGAAATTCAAATACCATCTCGAGATAATTTCGGCGGTCCCATTAGGCAATAAACTTAGGAGCTACTTTCGCCTAGAGATTATGGAGGCGGATTATTGCCAAAATTCCGAATAGTGTGAATCATACGAGTCTATCTGTTCTCAGCCATTTGCGATATTTTCAAATAAACAGTGGCACAATCGGTTTTTTAACATCGAAAGCTGCTAATGAACGCATGCATACGTGGAATGCATGAAATCAATGGCCAAGGAAAATTCCGTTCATGCAGATTATTCAGAGTCTGAAAATTGACTTGAGGTGAACTGAAAGTACTGTTAAGACGACGTATATAAAGTATATTATGTATAAACACGACTGGTCGGTTCGACCGAAGGGTAGAAGGGTAGATGAATCGGAAAAGACTGCTTGAATTCATCAATGAATGATTGGGTGAATTAGATACAGGTGTACGAGGGGATAGATAGGCAGATGTGTACAGGGCGGATATACAAACAATAAAAAGCCGATTTAATGGATGAACTGAAGCTTGGGTAAATGGACAATTGGGCGAATCAGGTACGGACAGATAATAGGGGGAATGAATAGATGCGCGAATGGATTAGAAACGGAAAAGGTGTAGCATTAGATAGACAATCGGATTCCGATATGAGTAAATTGTTTGAGGAATAAATAGGTGGATAAATAGATGGATGAGAAATGGATAGATGATTTGAGAGATGGACCCTTGAGAAATGGATGATTGGATCGAGAAATGAACGAATAGTTGAATGGATAGGATTGGATCCAGGAAAGAGAAATAAACCAGAATTGGGTGATTGAATGGATGAATCTTTGAATGAATGAATAGCTGGATAGATAGATGAATGCATAATTGAGTGCACAAAAGGATAGTTGGTAGGATAAACGAGGAAGTGGATGGATGAATGAATGCTTATATGGTTACTTCTACATGAATAAACCAGCTGACATACTTGTGAGTGTCTTAATAGAAGCCGCCTGGGCCTTAGTCTCCGCTAAAAGACTCTTCAGCAGTTGAATTACTTCCGAATCCCCCGAAGCACCACATTCAGTGGAGGAAGTAGTAGGGGTAGCAATAGGATGTATCTGCAATGACTTTAGCGACTCTGATGTGGCGATCACATCGTTCGAACTGCCATCCAGACTTCGCACGGAGTCTGAAAGTGGTTGGTTCATGCTGAGACTCATGGCCTTTGCAAATACGCCATTCGCAGGCCGGGAGAAGTCTAGGATCGACGGATCACCTATAAGGGTGGAGAGAGGTAAAATTAAGGCACTTTAGAATGGAGAATATTATTAACGCATGCCAGCAATATTGGTTAATTCTGGTAAAAGTCCCCTCTAGTAAGATTACAGGCCAAGAATGAACGCTTACGGATACAGAGAGCTGTAAAAACTAGTATTTTAGGCCCTACAATAAAACTCTTGGAGGGGCACAACAACCTAATGGTTTGGAATTGTGAAGAGTACAATAACAAGTCTACATACACTGAATGCCACCCCGATCTAATTATGGCCAAAAGCTATCTGACAAAGAGAGCGACCGCCAAGCAAGAGGCGAACGAGATGAACCACTTTATGAGTAGTTTGTAAGCGAGAATAAAAGAAGACTGTTACTTTTTACCGTTCGGAAATCCGGAAAAACGTTAAGAATGTGAAGTAACAATCTTCTAGTCTTCTATGAACGAAATGCTTGTCCAGTATGGAACAAGATGTGAGATTGATGACCGGCGCCACGGAGGGGCGCGAATAGAACTCGAAGCAACCAAACCAAAAAAGCAGCAACAGTGACTACTATGTTCTTATTGCACGAAGAGTCAAAACAGCAGCGTTAATTTTTACATAAATATCGCCTAGGTCGAGCCAGATCAACAAATAGGTAAGGTAGTAGAAACAAGTCACAAATAGGCGGTACTGCCCTAATGTTTTACTTCATAGTCTTTTCTAACCATTTTCATGAAATACAAATAAGATGTGGAATAAATACAGGATTACAGGCAGTTTGAAACAGCAACAGATTAAGCACACTTGGCTCCTAAGAATGTGAATGATACAATGGGTTCAGGAAATTCCACTCTAGGTGGCGATGTTAATCCACGATTTTTCCTCGGCCCACATTAGACCACGCGAAAGGAATAGGTGAGATTAAGTGTGAATAACTAAATAGGTTCAAACAGAGGAATTGAGTGATTGGACTTGACGATGGATGCATTCAGCATATACATTGAACAGAGTAAGTTGACATTCCTTGTTTGGGATTATGAAAGGCAAAGATAAGATGAAAACTTACGGCATAGGGAATTCGAGAAGCTGGCAACACTGCTACTGCCCGCCAGACTGCGAACAGAGTCCGACAGCTCGCTTGCTTTACTCAGTCCTCCCATACCCCGAAACGGCAACTGACTCGGATCGGCTGCGGAAGCAAAACGAAAACCATTAGTAAAGCAGGCAACTATAGGTGACCGACAAAGAGCAATAAAAAGGGTTTGTAAAGATCTTGTTCGAATAGACCAAGCTCCCAAATACTGGATAAATTAATGCCACATGAAGACAAGATCAATCAGGACAAAATATGGTGCCGCATCAAAATAGCTAAAACAACCGCCTCATTCCCCCACGATTAAATATGCCGAGTAGAAAAAGAAAATAATGTTCCATCAAAATTCAAAAGCATTTACATTCCAGTTTCAGTAAACCAAGACTACAGATGCGGAGACTAGTGCAAAAGCGCAGTAACTGCAAGGATCAACCATTTTCTCGTAAAAAATGACAAACTCTTGGGAGTGCAGACTGTACTTCTTTTCCTAGCCAGTACTCTGCCGCATTCCCACACTCCCAAGTAATGCCTGCGAGGTTTTTCCGCATAGACGGATTCATAAGTACAGCTGCACTACCATCAAAGTTCCGGTAGACAGTGAGCCAACTTGGAGGGAAAGTAGTCATGGAAACTTGTGCCGTTTATACCACTCCTACAGAGAAACACATTCGTTATACAATTTCACCACAGATTAATTATGCTTCAATCAAACTTGCAAAGCTCTGAACTGATTGTTCACAGGAGCAACTGACGAGGCCAGAGGTTGAGATTAAACATAACCGGATCTATCACTGATCAACGCACAGTCGACCGTGTTTGAGACGTTTACATTATTCACTTGCCTTATTACTGAATCAATGGGCGTTTCATCACCGTGCCGTACTGGGAGGAAAGGTTCTGAGTATTCATTGGCAAAAGGCATCGTCACCACAGGCTGTTGCATCCACAGTCTCTCACTACACTGTCGCCTGCCATCTTGATTAAGGGCGGCCAGAGGGGACTGACAGAACATGTGCTCCAGATTCTGATAACAAGACCGGCTTATCATCTACCACTCCCTGCAGTACCATCCCAACATTTTCTTTAAAAACTCATAAAATTACATGTTCCTGGTTGACCTGAATGCCTTTTATAGGAGCGGCATTCAAAATAATACGGGTGTCACCAACTTCTCGTAAAACTTGAAAACTGTCGAAAAATGAATTAATTGAGAGCAAAATTATGTTTGTTTTGATTATAGATACGATTACGTGGATATTTCTAGATTCTCTATGAAAGTATAAAGCCACCATAGTCATATGGTCTCTCATCCTACTTGTACATACATAACGGAGCTACTTCCAGACCAGTACACCCAACTTCTTCAGAGACCCTGAAGGCTGAAGACTGGCTAACGGCCCTATACAGAATAGTTGATCAGGTTCCGCATGTCCCCAAAGTAAGACCAAAAAAATATATTCAAAATTAAGGCAAAAATAGTTGTTCATTCATTTATTCCTAAGGGCAGCGCTGCTGAAGGCAGCTTTGCCAACAGTGACGACAGGTCGTTGTTTACTCTCACCCCAGAAATGAAATTCGGAGGTTTTATAGCGCCATTTCAGGTAAAAACGGTTACACTAATATTACTTGCTCCACTTTAACGAGGAAAAAATGCATTTAATCACCATTGTCCACCACCCATCTGGCGTCACATTTCAGACTGGCATGAGCGTGGTTTATTGTTAATGCACTAAATACACCACGCTGCCCTATTAATGTTACAGGAGCTATTGCCCACCTCCTTTCCTCAATCTTTGATAACACTTTCATTGGATTTTACAAAAGTTCCTAGGAAAATGAAGTGTAGCAATCGATCGTGCCATTTGACCTCCTTGATCAAACCGACTGCCCTTGCAGATGACAGGTTCACATGCTGGAGTGTAAAAATCTACGAAACCAACTTTAAAAACGGAGCCAAAGAGGAGGGGAATGAGGTCACCTCGTTCACTGGGTATTGCGAATATAAGAGTGGATGCCGGGAGCACAAGCCCATTTCTAGTGGAGTTGCCTAGGGGGTACAAATGTGACGAATGCAGAGCACTTCGGATATTAGAATGTAGGCAGAACCATGAGAAAGTGGTCTGCAAAAACAGGTGAACAGCTGAAAATGGTCCCGGAAAAGCTAAACACAAATGGCAAATTTGCTCAATTTTCATTAATCAGGAATTTTTAAAGCCCTGATGTTTCAACTTTAATTTCCGTCCTTTAACCCATTTATCTTAATTGACTAGATTAATCACAGTTTAAAGCGCATTCCTGTACTTATAAGTCATCACATCTAAAGCATAAAGTCTATCAAATATAGAGACAAATCTGCGACAAAATTGTATTACCAATGGAAAAATCCAGTAAACTACACCCATTTCAACTTGTTCATCCACAAACCATTATTGAAAGCTGTGTTTGTTTTAAGCTAGAAAAGTATTTAAGTCTCCTGCAACCCTCTGCGCCTAATTAGGTGGCAGCAGCTGTGAGAAAACTTACTAGCAGAGGTGTGAAAGGAGCAAGTGGACCCAGAGCGGAAGGCAGTTGCCACTATCGGGTCTTCGTTGGCAAGCTCAGCATCCGAGATTCTTCCGACAGTTTGAAAGCTTTCGCCCTCATCATTTCCGCTGCCACAATTGTCACCACCGCCGAAAGATTGGCCTGTAGGCGTGCTGCAAAAGAATTTACATTAATGGTTTCTTTTAGGTTACACCACACTTTCACCGCCTAATCATCAGGCGTTTTTTAAGAGATCGCGACTTGGATGCAAAACGATACAAGATGGTTTTTTGTTCGACTCAACTGCCAATCACAAAGATCCCACACCTTATTGTTTTATCCTCAATCGTTTTGGGACACGATTGGATGCAAATTGATGAAGAACACGTCGCACAGATGCGAGGTCGGCCTCAAATAAGGTACGCAGAAAATCGCCCATATATGATGGCTGTAGTGTTTCAAATGCAGAATTTTACTTTCAAATAACTGACTCAACCCCCTATGAATTCTATGAACGTGCTAGAATTCGTAAAATAAATAGAACGATGTCAAAAAACAAAGGCACTACTCACGCTTCAAGCTCCGAAGTAGCTTGAGGAGTATCTAAAGCACAAGAAGAAAGGCGCAGTTTAAGAATAATAGGCAAAAAGCAGGAACCAGTTAATTAAAAAAACTTACTTGAGTCCACAGAAAGCGAATTTTCAGTTGGAGGTGGTACAGAAGGGACATCTCCATTCGGTGGTGGAGTGTAGGGGCGCGAAGAAGCCGAAGTTGGTCTCCGGTTAAACATCTTCGTGAAGACATTGAAAGAGCTGGAGAAACTAATGAAGTAGAACCAGTTATTCTGAATGGTTTCTTTCAAGAAAAAATTAACCAGCAAGGCTTACATGGAACTCTTATTTCCTTCGGGCAGTAAAGGGGAGGAACAGTTCCCGACCGTTCCTACCGTAGACAGGGGGTCATTATCCAGTGGGGGCTCAGTGGCGAATTGTTCCTCTTTCTTAGCTACAGAAGGATTTGTTAGATAAGCAAAAAGGATAAAGGTGAATCTTACTTTTGTCACGTTGCATGTAGATGCCCAGAGGAACAAAAAAACTTAACTTTCCTGTCTTCAGCTCCCTACAAAGTGGCACGAAATAGAGAGACGAAGACTAACACTTACCTAGGATGAATCAAATTTAGTTGAGCTTCAATGTTATCGCTGTCCTCTGGGACGTAGGCCGCAAAAGCTACGGAGCAAAAAAGGCAGGGGCGTGCGATACGATAATGATAAAAAAACCGCAAAATTTCCACACAAGTGCTTTGTCAAACAAGATCGGAGAAAATGAATGGAGTCACATAAACCAGTTAGGTGGTGATTAAAGTGGGAACCCAGAAGCTCTAGCCAATGAAATTGTAGCCATGACGCTTGAACTATTTGCTAATGGTGGAGGGCTGGTTAGGCGCAAGCACACACATACGCCCACAAACAAAAAAGACATCACAACTCAATTTCACCTCCGATTACAGTGTTCGTTTTCCTTTGTTTACCAAAAGGGCTCAAGACCGAAATCAGTACTTACGGCGGTCCAGTGAAAGGGAGCGTGAAACCCGACTGACATCAAATGCGATACACGGACTGACGAGGAGAAACTCAGTGACACATCGGAACTGCACTTCTTCTGGATTATCAGGGTTTCTGGATAAATGGAGCGCGTAGAGAACCTTGGAGAAAGAGATAAATCAAGATCTCTATTTGGGGGAAAAATCCATCAAAACCGGTCTTTTTCGCCATATTTAACATCCGACTATTCAAGTAGCCGATCCCGTTTGATGCCCTCAAAAAATAATCTAAACTAGATACATATGTCTTTATTTTAGTGGCACAAACACATATGTATGTGTATGTATGAATTCGTTCATTCACCAATAACCGCATTGCTTTCATTGGAGCAAGGAGAAGGCTCGGGTAAAGTATCGACAGAAAGATGATTCTTTAGAGGCTGCGTTTCGGACTTCTGTGACTCCTCCGAAGCATGGTTTCCCTTCCCCACCTCCTTCTCTACAACTTTTAAAGATGACCCAGCTGTCAGAGCAGTCGGTTTCACATTCCTCTGCCGCCGTCGGCGCTTAACAGCCACCGTATAAGAAGCCTGTCTAGCTCTTACGGGTCTGCCCCTCTTTCTAAGCGGAGCTACATAGGATCTACAGCCGACTGGCGTGGCACTCCAGTGGCTGGGGATGGAGGCTTGAGCTCTCGGAGTCGAGCGACGACATCTGAGCAGTGAGCGTTCGCGGGTTCGGGAGAAAGTTTTGCCACGGTTGGAGTTATTCCCGTGCTCACCACTAAGGAGACCACAGGTGCACATATTAGTGCTAATTTTGGCGCGTTTTGACTTGTTTGGCATTGTTTGAGGAGTAGAATGAACACACACACTTCCACAGCGAAATGTGGGGGACTAGAAGGCCAGTCATCGATCAGCGCCGATTCGAAAGGGCACGTGACCAAAGCACGACAGGCGATTGAACTAAAACGATGGCCTGTACAGAAATTCGCCATAATACCAGGCCATTATCACCGGTAAAATGTCCAACATTTCACTTCGTCTACTCCCTTTCTTTCGGACTACTATGATAATTAAAACCATTGTTTAAAGAAAGCGTTTGAACTTTTTTCCAAATTTTGTTCCATTCAGAGTGATTCCTGCAGACTCGCGATATTTCCAAATAGGCAAATATTTGGGAAGATTCCAGATAATATACGACACATTAATGATCCGTTTGGACGTAAAAATGAGCCGAGTAGAAGGCAGAGGTAAGTGATTACGACGTGAAAGAAGCTACTTCTGTTCCATCAACATCAGACGGTCGCGAATGAATCTGTGAGTCGTAGAGTTCAATCTAATTGAAACTACCACTTATGTATCACAAAGTGTTACTTTACCTCACCTACATCAGTGATGGTAAAAAAACGGACTTGTCTAAGTAAAATATTCTATCGAATCATCCAATATTACCTAATGGCAGGTCGCAGCATCCGCATGTAAAAGCAAGAGAAAAACCTTACTGTGCGTTTGATGTCGCTGGCCAGAAGAAGATTAGCTGTCGCACTGAAGTGAGTAATGAGCATGGGTTGAGGGGAGGACTTTAGGGTTTCACTATCCTTCTGATCTCGTCCCTCACTGGGACAAAATCGAATAGTCTGAACCAGGGAACAATCGGGAAGACGCCAAAGAAACAACTCCCGATTGAAATTTGCTCCTCCAATTAGATACCCTTCCGGAGCTAACATGCTGCAATAAATATCGATAGAAAAAAAGCATTGGACCACTGTCAGAATTGGTACCAATAAGGTAATAAACCTTCGGCTACCTCTTATAGTTGACATAATGGAGAGATGAGAATGAAGAGGTTCCGGGCATTGTCCATTCACGATAGGGACTAAAAAATTCAGGACGGTTTGAATTTTCTGGCCTACCTGAAAGACTCTGATTTAATGTCGGATAGTTTGAACACGAGGATTTGTCCGATATTCACACTAATGAAGATGGTTGAGGCATCAGCAGCAAACTCCATTGCCTCAATATTGTTGTCATAAGTAGAGAGTCGCACCAGAATTTCGGTTAAGAGACGTGAATGCAAGTGATATTGAACTGATGCCGTGTGGAAATCGATGGGACCAGAGGACAGTTGCTCAATAACCCCATTTAAATCGACAATATATACCTTAACAAATGTGTGAAATTAGTAGAGGCGACAAGCATACGTCTCTATTTAAGGCTGCCGCTAGGAGCAAAGAGGAATCTTTGTGGTCTTCTGGTGTTGTAGACTTGGGCCCCCATTTAAGAGCACAATGAGTAAGTGTAGAACTGTTCTCATGGAGATTAATGGATATCAAGAGGTTATTCACCGCGTCAATATGATTAACCTAGAATATAACTATGATAAAATACAGAGCCTTACGTGATATATATTTAATATCCCGTCGAAGCTTAAGACGGCCAATATTGGTAAAAAATACGGAGAGAAGTCAAGTGTGAGAAAGTCACTGTCAAAATTCTTAAGAAGTGATCTGACGCGTGTTTCACTGTGCGTTATCCGTACTAACGCTTTAGATTGACCTAAAATGGGTAAATATACAGTTGATAAATCACCTTTTATAAACCACGCGATGTTTCCTGATGTCGCATGACTTGTCAACAACTTCGTTGGGTAATATTTGTATTCCCAGTCGTACGATACCAGAGGTGTGATCATTAGCTGAAATGATAACAATCAAGTCACAGAAACCTACAGAACTGCTAGAGCTTTTGCCATTTGCCGTAATGGCACTAGCTGGACTGGCAACAATGTCGACTGACGAAGAGCGTATGCCAAAAAACTCTTCATAACCATTGCCATCTAGAAGTCTGATGGTGGTCTAATTAAATTGATGAATTCGTTTACATTTTCTCAGCAAACGACTTCATGATGCCAAATAAAATAGAAGCACTGAGAATTCATGCAGGCGCACAGCGTAAAACCCGGACGGCAAATTGACCAATCAAGTCCTTGAGATAGTAGAGGTTTCGGCTGAATAAAAGCAGTAAAGTGGTGCGTAGAGTAAAAAGCGCATATGACATTTTACAAGGTAATAGTTATGACTTTAAAGCTAATCGTCGCCCGAAATAGTTCACAACTTACTGAGCAAAAACACTTACTTCGACCACTTCTCAGCGCACATAAAGTGAATGAGAAAAACAAGTTTATTTGCAGATGTGCTTTCATCTTTGTATTAGTGGTATAGTTAGCTATTCTCCAACAGCAATCTTAGACCGAACATGTACCAGAAGTTAGTGGATGACTATTTCCAAAGTCGTATGGTGGGCAGCAAGTCGGATAAGAACTTGCAATAAGCGCTTGTTTAAATGGACCTTGTAGGCCTGAGGCTGCCACAAAGTGTGGGCCTCGTGACAAATCGGACGCCCTCTACCCGCTGATAGGAAACATTCCCCAGGCACTCTTAACTCACAATAGCCGTATCCTCATTATAATCGCTACTCAATGGGGCATGTTCTCACCCATCTCGACTACTCGTTCCAAGGATATGAAGGCCCAAGGCGATGACGCAACAAACCGTTTATTTTGCTATCAGGGGGTTGTGCTGTTGGGTGCCTGGAAAAGCGTATAATGTCTTTATTGTGGAAGAAAATTGAGCATGTTTAAAATAGGTTTTATAAACACTTAGCTTATTTCCACATGCCAACGCCTACTAGGAGCCAGTATGGTGCCTTTGTTCTCAACAGAAGAGAGTTTCAGTGTAGCGGCTTTGGAGGTGTGCTAAGCCGTGCCATTGCCAATAAATTACTACGCAGGAGATGCCTGAAGCTCCAGGCATGGATGAAGGAGTCAGGAAATTCAGAGTGTTTAGCTGACGGAACCCCAAAAGTATTTTAAAATATGCGGCAGTCAGGATCATTACTTAGATAGCCATGTGATAAAACAGCAAAGTCCAGGCAACAAAGTAATGTCTTTTCAACTGCATGCTTTACTTTAAAGATATAATCCAAATTTAGTGAATTTCTAATTAAACCCTATCTTAAAATAATTTTTTGTTGTCAGGTCTTACTAGGCTTAAGCATATTAAGGCAAGTCTATCACTTTACATTCAACTAACAGGTTAAGAATGCATAACTATTTCTTCCTCTACTATCATAAAAATGGGCAAAAAAACTTAGGATACTACCTAATATTTTGCATTTAATTAGTTGCAATAAGCATAATGACACTTATTTGCATTTGGATGCTTTCATCATCATTCACTGTTTTGTTTATATTCACCACCGAATAACGTCAAGGCTGATGTGCACTTTATAAAGTTGGTTTTTATCGTGCTCTGGCGTCTTGAGTTCCCCGTGGTCCCGTCGAAATGATTTTCCCTAGGATTGCTTTGAGTGGATCCTTTAGGGTTCCTTACTTGGTTAATATTGTCAAGTTTTCCAGCGCTACAACGGAGTTGCCGTTTCACAAAATGGTTGAAGTTTTCTTTAACAATGCAGCCGAACACGTCGAGGTGAAAATGAATAAAGAGCTTCCTTGGCAAGGAACATCTGAGAAAAAGGCAAAATATATTAAGGGGGTCCTTGATAACATTAGAGCTGTGGATAACGCTACAGAATTTCGCTTCCCTATAAAGAGGGATGATGGCTCGTTTGAAGTTATTAATGCATGGCGCGCTCAACACAGTCATCATCGATTGCCCTGTAAGGGTGGCATTCGCTATGCTGCTGATGTCGACATGGGGGAGGTCCTTGCTCTCGCTTCCCTAATGACCTTCAAGTGCGCTGTTCTCAACGTCCCGTACGGTGGTGCCAAAGGGGGTATCAGAATCAATCCAGCGGACTATTCTGTTGATGAACTTGAACGTATCACCCGTCGCTACGCCATGGAACTTGCTAAAAAGGGCTACATTGGTGCCTTTGTTGATGTGCCCGCTCCTGACATGGGTACTGGTGAACGCGAAATGGCTTGGATGGCTGATACCTACGCCCAAACTGTGGGTACGTTCACTCTCCTCCTCTCCTTTTTTTAAAAAAATCATTTTTGTGTCTAATCATGGCTTTTTAGGCTACCAGGATATTAATGCTAAAGGTTGCGTGACTGGCAAACCCATAAATCAGGGTGGTATTCACGGTCGTACCGCTGCTACCGGACTTGTAAGTAAAACTATCATGGGCTTTCAAATCTTAGGATAGATTAATCAGGTTACTTATCTCTTAGGGCCTCTTCTACGCATTGGAAAACTTTATCAACAACGAAAAGTGGGCTTGCAAATGCGGTCTCTCGAGCGGTATTAAAGGCAAGACTTTTATCGTCCAGGGCTATGGAAATGTCGGCCAGTACACCACCCAGTTTATGCACGAGGCTGGGGCTAAGTTAATTGGTGTATTGGAGCTTGATGGCAATATCTATAACCCCGATGGGATCGACGTCCCATCCCTTGACGCCTACAAAAAAAGTCACGGTGGCATCGCCGGTTTCCCCGGTGCTCAAGCCTACACCAAGGGCTCTCTTCTCTCTGAGGAGTGCGACATTCTCGTTCCCGCGGCGAACGAGCGTCAAATCAACATAGATAACGCTGATAGTATCCGAGCAAAGCTGATTCTTGAAGGCGCCAACGGTCCGGTCACCCCGCCGGCAGACAAGATCCTACAAAAGAAGAACATTCTTGTTATTCCGGACCTTCTGGCTAATGCTGGTGGTGTCACTGTCTCCTACTTCGAGTGGCTGAAGAATCTGAACCATGTCAGTTTTGGAAAGCTCTACTTTAAATATGAGAAAGACAACCATTACCATATTCTGAGTACGTATCTACCAAAAAACAATGAATGATCTCGGTGATATTCATTGTTATCTGTTCCTTCCAGGTAGTGTCAGCCAATCGCTAGAACATGCCCTCGGAAAGAGGGTTGACATCCAACCGACGGAGGATTTCAAAGAACGCTATGATGTGAGTGTTAATATCGATAGCATTCTCAAACTTTTTGCATTGAATCCCATTCATTATTGGTGCCTTAATTTACTGTAGCGCATCTCGGAGGAAGATGTTGTCCGTTCGGGTCTTCACTACAGTATGGAGCGGGCGTCAAACGTGCGTTAATTTCACTACCTTCTAGGGTCTATTTTCTTCCACTGAATCAGTATCTATCTTCCTCTCTTTCAGATCGTCATGGATACGTGTGAATCCTACAATCTTGGCTTGGATCTTCGTACATCAGCCTATATCAGCGCCATCGAGAAGATTTTCTACACATACCATGCATCGGGATTGACCTTCAACTAGGTTTAAGCACTTACTGATTTAGAACTGAACAAGTACCTTTACTAATGTCGCTGCCATTTAAACCGTTCGACAAGTACAACTTATTGGTGCCAAGCACTGTACTCTTTCGTCTTACCGGTTTCTGCTTGAAGAGGCGTTTTAGTATAGTTTAGACGTGTGTTATCGGGTCTATGATGCATTCAAAGCTGGGGATGATTTAATTATTTCACCTCCTGAGTACTGGCTGTAGTCGTAACATCTAACAGTCGAATGTTTGACTTGGTTACCTCTTGGAGAGCAGGCTCGTGTTTTTAAAGTGGTCCTGAACTGTTGTACAAATGAGTTCAAGGGCCCCTGTAGGGATTTGTCAACTCCCTTAGAATTCCTCGAGTTCCATTCATAAATAAAAGAAGGAAGAGGGAAAAAAAGAATTTGACAGCAGAAAATTTCCCAAACGATTTATTCCACCAAATCGTTTGCGCCTTCATGCCACCAATGCGGGTGGAAGTGTGTGAGGTTGCTTTGAGCACTGCCTCAAACTTGATCACGGGCGTTGGATCGATTCGTCGTTCTCCCACTACACACATCAACAACTTGACTGAAATGCCCAAAAGCAAGGCCAAAAATCAGTGGCTTCCATTGTGTGTGTTAATGCAAGGTACACATTGCTTTACCATTGGCATTAGCTGCTGCACCAATAACAGCAACAGCAACAGCATCAAGAAGTTGAACAAGAACCATCGCACGCATATCACACACTTTATTCATCCACT